TAGTAAATACACATAATTTAAGAAATTTTAACTTTATTTCCAGATCATTTTTTCCAGTGTAGCTCAGATTATAGTAAACAAGATCAGTTACCATAACTATGCAGATGACAAACAGCTTTACATCATGTCACCGTGTGACCATGAACCCATCAGTATTGGCTAGATGCAGAACAGATGAAGATGTGCAACAATTTTCTCCAACTGAATAAAAAAACTGATGAAATTATCCTTAGACCAAAGGAGGAAAGATCCATAGTTATCTCACAGCTTCGGCTATTACAGCTAGAAACCACTGAAATCTTAGTATCGTGATGAACTCAGACCTGAACCTTCAGAGGAACATAAAGGCAGTTACTAAGTCATGCCTTTCATTACCTGAAGAACATTTCCAGGATTAAAGGACTACACTGCAAAAAAGTGTAAATCTAAATAAGTCATTTTTTCTTAAAATAAGTGGATTTTATCCTAAGTTGAGGAGGTAAATGAAACACTTTGCCAATGGAACAAGACGATTTACATTTGAATTAAGAAAAATCAATTGCATTGTCTTATTTCAAGTGCATATTATCTAATAACTTATTTTAAGTGTAAAAATACTCATTCCATTGGCAAACTATCTTATTTACCTGCTCAAATTAAGGCTAAATACACTTGATTTAAGAAATTTTTACCTAATTTCAGATTACTTTTGCAGTGTAATATCTAAGCAGGATCTAGAATAATTCGCTCATGAATATATCCGTAGTAGAATTGTTTTAACTTTGAAGATTACATTCTACTTTTTTTGTTACAAAGCACAGTAAACTGCTTAACATCTAATTTCTCTAACACCACTTCAGGTAATCTGAGGTAATCTTGACAGCTCTAAGTAATTTCTATAGACCTTTAATATTAAAATATTCATTTTCTTTGAATAACCTTTTTTATAGCACTGTGCTACTATTCTTTACTATCTTATATTTCCTTTATTATGTCACTTTTATTTCTATTGATATAACATGATGTTATCAAACAACTGTTTGTGTTGCTGCACAGGGTGCTCTAGTAAAATCCGGATCTTGTGTCGGCAACAACTGCATCCTTTCAGCATCCTGTTCCCAACTTCCTGCCTACACCCAGTTTTAATATCTCAAACAATGCATTTACCAATTCCTAATGTTATACAAACCAAGCATCATTATAAGATCCAGTGATAGCGGGAAAGAAGCACACTGGTCTATAAGGTATGCTGTGGGTGAGAACGGTCGTGTTTAGGCCACAGATATTATTGTTGCTTCCTGGTCTTTCATTATTTTTGAAACTTTTAACTGATGGTGGCATAAAGCTTTGATTTTATCTAACATAATTCATCTATAATGTATTTCAATTCTTTTATGGACCACAGATTTTTAAAATAATATTAATTTGTGTTTCTTTAGAACCGTGTACCGCACCCAGCAACCATCTGGATTAGTGCCACTGACCTGGACAGGGATGGTCAGAGAGCATTGCTCTATAGCAGGCATCCCCAAACTCGGTCCTCAAGGCCCGCTGTCCTGCAGGTTTTAGAGGTTTCTCTGCTTCTGCACAGCTGGTTATAATGATTGCAGTAGACCAAAAGCCTGATAATCAGCTTTCAATTAAAATCAGCTGTGCTGGAGCAAGGAAACCTCTAAATTGGATGAGTCATAGAACGCAAACACTCAGTGGTTAGCTGAAGGAAATGATCAGAAGCAAGCAAGTGTTCTTCAAACTGCAAACGTGAATTGTCTATGCCATGCTACAATGTGGGATTCAGAAAAAGATGTTGAAATGTC